CGAGCAGCGCACCTCGCCGTTGGCCCCGGAGTCACGGTCCTGCACGTGCAAAAGGGCCACGACAGTTCCCGGCTGGGCGTCTTCTGAGATCTCGTTTAGTGCCGACCTCACGGAAATATCGGGTGCGTTGTCGTTGATGTCTGTCACAGTGATCATGACTTTTGCAGTATCATAAAGAGCCCCACCATCATATGCCTGTAGGTCCAGCTCGTAGGTATCGCCTTCCTCAAAGTCCAGGCTTCGTGCCAGAGTGATTGCTCCCGTCTCAGAGTCCAGGTGGAATATCTGCGATGAACTCTTTTTTTTTTTTAAAGAGTATTTCACTTGCCCATTCAGACCCTCATCCTTGTCCGTGGCCCTGACGGTGACGAGGACAGAGCCCACGGGCACGTCCTCGGGCACACGCACCGTGTACTCCGCCTGGCTGAACACGGGCGCGTTGTCGTTCGCGTCCAGCACCGTCCCGCGGATCCGAGCCGTGCCCGTCCGTGCCGGATCGCCGCCGTCGCTCGCCCTCAGCACCAGCTCGTGAAACGCCGCCTCCTCCCGGTCCAGCGCCTTGGCCAGCACCAGCTCGGGACGCTGATCGCCGCCGGGGCCCGTCTGCACGGCCAGCGAGAAGTGCTCGTCGCCGCTCAGCTCGTAGCTCTGCAGGGAATTACGGCCCGAGTCAGGATCATGAGCGTCTGGCAGGGGAAACCGCGACCCCGGGGCTGTCGTCTCGCTCAGTCTCAGATCCGTATCTGCCTCTTGAAAGCTGGGTGCGTTGTCATTTATATCCACAATTTCCACTTCTATTCCATAGAACTTCATTTCCCCCTCCACTATGAGTTCACAGCGCAGCACGCATTGCTGGACACTCTCGCACAGCTGCTCTCTGTCGATTCTTTGCGCCGTCACTAAATGTCCCATCTTCTCCTGCAAAGCGAAATACTGCGTCCTACTCTCGGTGACAATACGCACGGCATTATCGCGGATCTCCGGCAGCTGCAGCCCCAGGTCCTTGGCCACGTCGCCCACGAAGGAGCCCTTGGGCATCTCCTCGGGCACCGAGTAGCGCAGCTGCCCCCACGCCGCCTGCCACGCCGCCAGCAGGACGACGCAGAGCAGAGCTCGCTGCCGCCGGCCCCGGCGCCTCCCCGCCGCGCACATCTCCGCCGCGGCACCGCAACACCGCAACACGGCTTGCAGATCCTCGGCACAGATTTGGAGCCGAATCACCCCTCCAGCCGGTCCCGGCAGTCCGTCGGCCTCGGTTCCCTACGGCTCCGCACAGTGGGGCGATCGCAGACAGCCGGTCCTCCGCGCCAGGAACCGAGCGGGTCCGCAGCGGGCGGGGCTGCAGCGCTCCGAGCTTCCTCCCGCTCCTCTCGGTCAACAGCGGCGCCCGCAGCCTCCGCCCGGCACTGCAGGCACCGAGCGCTGCCCGCCCCGCTCGGCACACGGACAGCTCGCGGGGATGACACCGTCGTCACTGAGTCGTGGGGTCCCGTTCAGGCGGGACTATGTGGCTTGTGCTTTTCTCCAGCAGATCTTGTCTTCGATCCTTTAGCTTATCCCGACCAGACGTCAATTATAGAACTCCTGTGTTTCTACTACATTTACCACATTGGAAAAAAATCCTGAAATTCTGGTTTATGACAAAGTTCTTTTAATATGGCATGTAAAATATTACAACTATTACCCTAGTCGTTCCAAACCCTTATTTATGATACGAATGGCACAGCTGTTGCGGCTGTCTTATTTGATTTATTTTGTCTTTGCCTTTGTATAAACTAAAACGGCTTCAAACTGGAATGTCATCGGTGACATTGGTCTAACAAACCCCACCATACCAGACTGCAGTGATGACGATCCCCCCTCAAAGTGAGTCTTTCTAAAGGACTGATCTTCCTTACGGACTTTGTAAATTTTCACCTGCATCGCTGGATGCTCGGAATCAGCCTGTGCCGTTTTCATTCTCCTACCATCACTCTAAAATTGCTCATTGTAGCCTGGAATACTACAGCTCGTGATTGCACACATTACTCGATTACACACTTCTCTCTTAGAGAGCAGCACCAGCCGTGCACAGGAACTCGGTGATCCATTCCAAAATAAACTCAAAACCCATCATAAAGAAAATGTCTCTTCGGAACAAGAGGTATACAAATAGAAAACAGGCTCTGAAGAACAAAACAGATGTTTTTACTTTTGGAGATCTATTCTATGGCTCAGCTCCAGCTAAATAATAATTGGACAAAAGAAATCTGTCGCATGGTGTAACCATTTGCTCAACGCCTCAAAAGATGGGAAGGCATATGGCAGAGAAACAGGCTCTAAATTCCTCTTCATGGATCCCCACACACTTCCTTTGGAAGTCAAATTTCTCAAAAGCATTAACCGACAGGGTTTTACCCAAGTATAAACCATGTCCAAGTACATTGCTTGTGGAAAGACAGATTCTGGAAAGCATTTCATTTTATGGAGCAAAGCAACTCCTAAAAATTCAGACGATATTCATAGGCAAATATTCTCAGCTGAACCCATATGTGTAACGAACCAAAAGCACAGTTTCAAAACACTTCTATTATTTTACTCTGCAGAAGTAGAACAGCAAAAATCTACTCACTGAGCCTACACCTGGGAATTTTACATTTTTTTCTTTTGATATCCCTCTGCACCTTCACTGCTTCCTTTGCACCTTCACTGCTTCCTTCAATACAGAATACTACAACCGAAGATGAAAAAAAAATTAAATCAACAAAAAACCAACTAACAAACCAAATAAAGAGCAAAGCAGAAGAAAAATACCTGCAGAGAGAAACAAGGCCTGGAATCCTGAAATAAGTAACATATCCCGCTTAGGCTCCCCATTCTGCAAAAACCAAACCACAAAATATGACAGACACTGCACTACATCATCATAAAGGAACAATCTTTCATGGCAAAAATACCTACATTTCAGGGGAAAGTGAACACTACTACAACCTTGAATTCCTTTAACAGAAGTCCGCCACAAACCAGCAGTGTTGTGTAAAAGGAATTGATAATTACATTCTACAGGGTAAAAAAAAAGAACTTTACAAAGGTCGGGAAAAGCCAGTCCTGGTACAATTTACCCATCCCACTATTGCTGCCATTTCTACACCAGCCTTTGCAAAAGACAGAAAGACATACATCTGAAGTTGGAAATACTTACTAGGGAAGAACAGTCTACAACATTTGCTTGTGAAACAGCAATGCCACTCGTTTGGCATAATATAAATAATTCCTCGACAATAATAATCTTCCTCAGTAAAGCTACCATTTTCGACAGCAGCAGCTTACCTATAAAACATGGGAGGATAAAAAGAAGAGGGCTGGGAAACACAGGTAACTTTGTGATTCATGGAGTCACGGGAATGGTTTCTTTGGCTGTCCCATAACAAAAAAGTATTAACCACCCGTCTGACAAAGACGCCAACTATATGAATTTGGGGAAAGAGAGGTCGAAAGAAAAATCTCCACCACCATTAATTTACCGGGTTCACAGCCAGAAATATAAATGGGAGAGGTAGTGAAAGTCCCTAAACTGAACCAGAAACGGTGACCACCGAAGGACAGCGACACATCTCAGGGAAACACAGCGGAAGAAAGATGAAGGTTTAGAAAGGATCAATCCGAAATGTGCAAGCGCGAAGATTTACAGACCTGCGGTAGGTCGGGTTTGGCGAGCACCTCCTCCCCTACGGCGCTACTGCTAAGGCTCGGCTTCTCGCAGGAATCGCCGCCCAGCAGCTCCTCCGCCGACAGGATGGGCACCGGCGGCGGCGGCGGCGGCCAAGCGGCCTCGGGCACGGCGCGGGCCGGCGCCGGCACGCACAGGTTGTAGGAGTAGGGCAAGGTGCCCTCGCAGAAGTCGGCCGGGAAGGCGGCGCCGGCCAGCGAGAAGCGCTGCGCGCCCAGGCAGCGCAGCACGGCGGGCGGCCCGGCCCGGCGCAGCCGCGCCAGCACGGCCAGCGCCACGCTCAGCACCAAGAGCGCCGACAGCAGCGCCAGCGCCAGCACCAGGTAGAACTGCAGCGCCGCCGCCGCCGCCTCGGCGCCCGCCGGCCGCTCGCTCAGCTCCGGCAGCGCCTCCTGCAAGCTCTCGGCCAGCACCACGTGCAGCGTGGCCGTGGCCGAGAGCGCCGGCTGCCCGTGGTCCTTCACCACGGCCACCACGCGCTGCTTGGCCGCGTCCCGCTCGGACACGGCGCGCGCCGTGCGCACCTCGCCGCTGTGCAGCCCCACGCGGAACAGCGCCGGCTCCGACGCCGGCACCAGCTCGTAGGACAGCCACGCGTTGCGCCCCGCGTCCGCGTCCACCGCCACCACCTTGGCCACCAGGTACCCGGCCTCGGCCGAACGCGGAACCACCTCGAAAGGAGTCGCCGCCGCTCCCGGAGCCTCTCCCGCCGCCGCCGCGGCTCCGCCTCCCGCCGCTGCCGGCCACAGCACCCGGGGCGCGTTGTCGTTGCGGTCCAGCACGAAGACGCGCACCGTGGCCGTGGAGCTGCGCGCCGGCGAGCCGCCGTCCTGCGCCCGCACGGCCACCGTGAACTCGCGCAGCTGCTCGTAGTCCAGGGAGCGCTGCGCGTACAGCGCGCCGCTCCGCGCCTCCACCGACACGAGCGGCGCCGCGCCCGCCGCGCCCGCGCTGCCGCCCGCCAGCCAGTAGCTCACGCGCCCGTTGGCGCCCGCGTCCGCGTCCCGCGCCTGCACGCGCAGCACCAGCGCGCCCGCCGCGTTGTTCTCCGCCACGTACGCGCTGTACGCCGCCTCCTCGAACACCGGCGCGTTGTCGTTCACGTCCGACACCTCCAGCACCAGCTCCGTGCTGCTCCACAGCGCCGGCCTGCCCCGGTCCCGGGCCACCACCGTCACGCGGTGCTCGGACGCCTGCTCGCGGTCCAGCGCGCTCGCCGTCACCACCTTGTACGAGCCGCCCGACGACGCCACGATCGACAGCGGCGCCTCTCCCGACAGCTCGCACGACACCTGACCGTTCTCGCCCGAGTCTGGGTCGTACACGTTTAGCAGAGCCACCACCGTGCCAGCCGGCGAGTCTTCGGGCACTGGGCTCGAGAGAGACAGAATCGTGATCTCGGGCGCGTTGTCATTCTCGTCCATGATATCGATCTGCACTTCGCAATGATCAGTGAGCCCGCCGCCGTCCGTCGCCTCCAGGCCGAAGTTGTATTTACTCTTCTCCTCGAAATCGAGAGGACCGGATGTCATTATCTCGCCGCTGTCGCTGTCGATAGCGAACAACGCCTTGACAGTATCCGGGACGCTGCTGAAGGAATAGGAGACCCGCCCATTGGAACCCGCATCTGCATCCGTGGCCACCACCCGCAGCACCAGCGACCCCGCCAGCAGATTCTCTGCCACTCTCGCTTCATAGACGCTTTTGGTGAACACGGGTGGGTTGTCGTTTGCGTCTGTGACGTTGACCCGAATCTGGACAGATCCGGATCTCGCGGGGTCCCCACCATCCACTGCAGTCAGCACCAAATCAAAGGAGCTCTGCTTCTCTCGGTCCAACGCCCTCTCCAGCACTAATTCCGGCTGCTTTTTTCCACCCGCCTTTTCCTTCATGGACAGTGAGAAAGAAGGGTTGCTGGTGAGTTCGTAAGTCAGCAACGAGTTTGTTCCTACATCAGCGTCTTTGGCCATCTCCAGAAGAAAACGAGCACCGGGAAGCGTCCATTCACCGATCTCGAGGTCCAGAGCAGCTTTGCTGAAGGTCGGAGAATTGTCATTCACATCCCCAATTGCCACCTCGACGTGGAAAACGTTCAG